GGCAGATGGCACCCAGCAGTGGCGGACGCTGGAGTGTGAACCTCCCCACAAAGATAATAACTAGTTTCTCCTTCTGAACCAGCACTTGGCAGAAGTAATAATAGTGGCTCAGACTATAATCCAGTTTAAAGGAAGAGTATATGACATATACTAGTTCCAAACATTTTTTTTTTAAGTAAGAACAAACACAAAATAAGGGCTATGGTCCAAGTAACAAAATAAATAAATTTGGGATTCTTTTCAGCTCCGCCAGTGTAAATTATTACTCTTAAGAGAAAGGAAGTGAGGCATTTGGCTCCCCTGAAGAACAGCCCCTTGGTTTTTGCCAGCCACACTCTGATTTCCAGATGTCCTGAATCAGATCATTTGGTTGGTGTCTTAGAATCTTCTGTGAGGCTTTCTCAGAAAACATCTAGAAATTTTTAAAAATTACTGGCAAGTAAGAAAAAGAAGTATATAATTTTAAGAGGACTTACTTTATCCTTCCACACCTCTGTAAGTTAATTTTTTCACTGCTTTCATACTGTCCAAAAAAAGCTATCCTGGCCTTCAGGGATGAGTCAGAAAGAGCTAGAATTCATGACAAGACTAACCCTGAGTCAACAGAGTGAGCACCTGTCCTACTGTGACTGTTTGTCCTCTGAGATTCTTGAGCTAATTACATAAAAATGGTTTCTTTAAAACAGCACCTGACCTTTACCAATACTTGATCTGACTGTTCAGGGCCAGCCACAATTGAGCTGACAATGAGGCCAGCCAATTTCTAACAAAAGCGAGGAGTCATATTTATGAATCTTTGGAGCAGGTCTGCACATACTCACTTCTCTGACTCCCTCTGAAAGCTCTCAGGGAGGGGCCAGGCCCTCTGGGCTGTGGGATGGAGCTAGGGCAGGAGCTCCCACCCAGAGCTTCCCCCAGGCACGAAGCACAGAATCCAGAAAGCTAATGGGTATTCAAGGGCAGCTGCGGAAGAGTTCCACAGGGTGTCCAGATCCTGGCACTGTCAGATGTGCCATTATGTTGACACATCCACCCAGCCCTCACCAAGCAGGTGCATGAGGCAATCTTTTCATTTCATCCTATCAACCTTAGCAAGTTAAACTATAACTATGGAGACAGCAGGAAACTGTATCTGCCTACTAAAACTGTGGTCATGGGCTTCCAAGAGCATCATGTTCTTTCCCAGCCTTGATGGCAGGCAGGGAATGTCTTCATAGTAAATCAAACCTACTGCCAGCTCAGTGATCCCTGACACTAGGCATCAGGTACTCCTCTTGATGGCACGTGGGGTGAACTGAAAACATATGCCCCAATTCTAGAGCCCCAGGGGCCTTTTTCATCTTTTCTACTCATTCATAAATAAAACGGTGCTATTTATTATAAACACCACAAGGCATATGTACTCTGAGAGTTATAAAAAGTTTTTATTTTTTTTCAGCCAAGAAAGAAGTCACTAGTTTAAAAACTCAACAAACAGGCGAACTCTTCAAAAAGAAGATGCCAAAGGCAATCCTCAGTTTATATATTAGAGCCACTATCAACTTTGCTTCTTTCATGCTTTGATGATAACTGATACTCAGTTAATGTTTTCACTCAACACAGCCTCGAGCCCAATAGGAGGATCTTGGGAAAGCCCAGGTTCACCTAGTAAGAAATACATTTTAGTAATGTGGCACCTGGATTTGAATCCCAGCTTTGCCTCTCACTAGTTACTCAGCCTCTTGGAGCTTTTATCAAAAAATGAGATGAGGTTTCTAAAGTACTTGGCAGCACACCTGGCATATAGGAACAGTTAAGAAATACCGCTGATTTCCTGATCTCATCACTTTGTCACGCATACCATTCAGAACCTCAAAATTTAAGGCTTTTCTTATATAACAACCAAGCGTGATACATGGTCTTGATTGAATTCTGGTTTAAACAGATGAACTCTAAGACATTTAGAGGCAAATGGGGAAATCTGAATGTGAATTGACATTATATAATATTAGGAAATCATTATCAATCATTATGTAAGTTAATGGTATTTGGGTTATGTAAAAAAGTTCTTGTTTTGTAAAGATGCATAATAAAGTGGCAAAATGTTTAAAATATTTCAGAAAACAAGGGATGGCAAATTAACAATTGTTGAACCTAACTAATGAGTATACAAATGCTTATTATACTATTCTCTCCACGTTTTTGTACATTTGAAATTTTTCGTAATTCAAAATTCCAATAAAGTGGTTTTCTAACATAAAAAAGACACAAGTATGTCCACTTTTAAAAACAAATAAATATATTCTGAAACCAAACACAAGTGTTTAGAATTATGAATTATCCCTGCGTTAAGAAATCCATTAAGTATAGTCTCAATTCTTTTCAAAGCCCTTATTTGATCTACTGCTCCTCAAAGGAACACTGTGCCATCAGCTGAACCTATCTCCCACCGTCTGTAACCCGTATCCTCTGACCACATGCCCATTATCATTCTGTCCTCAGAGTTAAACTGTTCTCCATATTACTGCTCTTCCTGTCTTTCCAAATCTGACCATTCTATGAAAAGTCCTTCCCATCTACTCCAGCTCTACCTTCCCTTACTCTCTACCTTGAGGCATATACACAAATTACAAATTTTGACTGTGTTGTTCTCTACCAACCAAATTCATACTTTGTATTGGCTGAACTGCATACATGTTTCATCCATCCTACTGTACTGTAAGATGTTGGTTGGCAGCGGTAGCTTCTTTTATTCTTCAAGCCTCCAACTAAACAATGTACACTGCTCTAAACAGTGCAAGAATCTGTTAACAAATACTACTGATGACTGTTCACACCCTACTCTACCCTTGAGGAGTCCTAAGAGATGAAACTGACTCAATTTGAGCCAGAAATGCTTTGAGAGAGCTTGCTCATTATGAGTAAGATTCTCCTTAAAATAAAAGAGAGGCTCCAATTTCTCTTTGGGATCTAAGTGACACCTTCTCAATGCTTTATAGCCGACAGTCCCCTTGGATGTCATCTCCAGCTCTTTCAAGTGCTACTTCTAAATGACCCTACAGTGTTCATGGCAAAACATTTAGGTAACATACCCTGAGTTCATCGACTTTAAGATCTCAACAGCCTCACAATAGCCCTGCCCTTCCAAAAAAGCAGTATGCTGGGACCTCAATTACAGCTGGTACATAATCCATTCTGACAGCACACCTCTGCCACTCACACCAGGGCCAGGGCAAACAGAGTTGGTTAAAAGGCATCAGTCCCTAAATCCCTAAGCAGGAGTGTCCAACCTTTTGGCATCCCTGGGCCACACTGGTAGAAGAATCGTCTTGGGCCACACATTAAATACACTGCGACACGTAATCACAAAAAAATCTCATAATGTTTTCAGTAAATTATGATTCTGTGTGGGGCTGCATTCAGCCACCCTGGGCTGCATGCGGCCCACGGGCTGGACACCCCCGTGCCTGAAGGAACAGGAAACAACTAACAGGTTCACAATTCAGGAAAGATGAGTACAGTGTCATGGCCAGGAATGCCAGCCCTCTCCTAAGACTACAGTTATGGTTGAGCTGGGTAGTTTGCGGGTGGGTAAAGGGCTTCCATTCTAGAAAGCACTGGACAACTAACTGGTTTTACCATCTCCAACTCTTATCTTCCCATTAAACTCAACTGCATCAAGTTCCTGTTCTGATAAGGCACTCTAGTCTAGTCTAGTACGACTGTACCACCCAGAAAAGTCATACTCTGAAGGATTAATATTAAGGAAGACAAATCTGGAGCAATAGGAGCTTAGAGGATAATCTTTGATTGAGTGGTAAGATGTGAAGTCTTTCCTCAAATGTAGGCAATTTTCTTCTCTTATATCCTGTAGCACTAACATGTCTCCATAGAATCCTTTATGCTACACTATTACTGAATGAAGTCCCTCTGCCTAGACCATGTGAAGAAAGAGGACTCACATCATCACGTTTCTTTTCTTAATCTGCCTCTTGACCAAGACCATATATAAAGCATTGGTCAGAAAAATACCATTCTTACAACAAAGTAACTTGTCCTTCAAATAAACATCAATTTTATTTTTTAATTTTGAGGGTGAATGCTAACATGAAGCAAGGACAGACTTAACAGTTATATATGATTATATATGTGGGATGCTGGACCTAACATAGCATTATTAATCAGAGAAGAATGCACAGGAATGCTCACAGGCCCCCACACATGAACCACCTACAACAGTGAGCTCTTAGCATCAGGGCTTTATTCAACCAACCAAAACCACAACCAGGAACTATTATTACCTTAGCACTGTGTGGAAGAAACTGTTTAATCAATTAGCATACAGAGAAAAAGATCAAGAAATCAAACACCTAGAAGGGTTTCTCAGAACAATCCAAACACTTAAAATCATGCTTATGTCAACAAACAATTCTCTCACTTATTCTCCACATGTGAAAAATCAAAATGTTACTTGGGCCACTCTGGGTTGTGGATGGAGAAGCAGATGGGCCTCAGTAACTGAAAAGACATTAACAAGTAGTCATGTAAGTAAAGTAAAAGCCCAACAATAGTTAGGACAAATAATTGAGCTTCTCTTTTTCCTCAGAAAAAAACAAACAAAAACAAAAACCCTACCCAAAACCAAAAAAATCAAAGTAGAAACCAATCCCAAAGGTGTGTTGCTGCCGTTCTACGCTCAGTATACATTTACAATGAAAGCATGGCTGGCGATATTTTGACTTCTTTTTTTTAAATGTAAAGGTAAAGAACTTTATTCTTTCAACACCCAAACCAGAGCAGAGAGACAACAGTATATTATAAGTGTGGATAAAGTAGTATCTACAGGACGTGGAGATGGGGAAGGGGGGAGGGGAGAAGGGGTAGGTTTTGTGTTGTTGCTGCTGGCAGGAGAACTAAGCAGTCTTAAAGAACATTCTAGGATTCTAGGTTTGCCATGAAGGGGTATCACGGATCCCAAGGCCCACCACCTACCCCTTCTCCTCTTCTCCGAGGGCACCTACCTTACTGTAAGTCACTACTGATAAGTTGTTTGCGTGACTGCTGGGGGACAGATTTACAGAGTTCTGTGAAAGTCTATTCTCATCTTGCTCAGTTTGGTCAGGAGCAGGAGCCCATGTGTTTTTGCTGATCGAGTCGAACTCAGAACCCCCAGGGTCTTTTAAGTTGTTTTCATCTGATTGTCGGTTCTTTTGGGGAGAGGCAAACGGGTTGAAGTTTCCTTCTACCTTGCGATGTGGCTGTGTGTTGAACTCCGTTTCAAAAGATGACAGCTGCTGCGTTACTCCTAAAAGTCCACCCACCTCCACACTGAGAATCACCCAGATGACATCTGAAACAAAAAGGCAACTCATGTCAATACCAGATACACCCCTGAGGCCCAAAGCAGCTACCACTGAGAACCTCCACCACCACCCAAACCATAGAAAGAAGTGTTCTTCTATATGCTAGTTTAGAAGCTTACTGACAAAGTAGTCTCGTACATTTGCATTGCATAAAGTTCTACATTTCTGACAATGTCATGGGCAAACTCTGGTACAAATTCAGAGGTCTGTGGTGAGATCCCTGGAACTATTTGTAAAAAGGTTACTAGTTGATTCTGATGTACAGCCATCTTTGGAAATCATTACTCCAGTACAGTGGTCCATAGAAACCTAAAAGCTATTTTCCCAGAATTACAAGTTCTTTGTGGCTCTTGCTTTATTTTACATGCATTTAACTCAGAAAACTCACAGCAGGCATAATTCTTGTGTCAAAAAATGCTTATAATTACTAAAACTGGAACTTATAGATTGCCCCCATGTCCTGGGTAATTTAGAGTGACCATGTTGTTTAAACTAGGTCAACTGAGAGTAAAAGAGAGAGCTATTAATAATTGCACCAGGACACAGGTGTAAACCAGCAATGACCCTGACATATTGGGACATATACCACCCTGGCTATTTCCACAATATATGTGGTCAAAAGATAGCAAAACTTTTTCGTCTCAGACTTTCTAAAATAATCCAATTTAACACCAATTTACCTTACTGTCAGATAGGAAAACCCTACTATCTACTGTAAAACCGTAAGATACTTGTTTTATTTATTTTTTACCCTCACCCAAGGATATGCTTTTTGATTTTAGAAAGAGGGAGGGAAAGAGAGGGAGAGAAAAAGGGAAAGAAACATCGATGAGTGACAGAAACATTGATTAGTTGCCTGTTGTTCATGATCCGACTGGGGACTAAACCGCAACCTAGGCATGTGCTCTGACCAGGATTCGAACCTGTGATGTTTCAGTTCATGGAACATTTCAATTGACTGAGCTACACTGGCCAGGGCCATAAAAGACTTGTTTTAAAAGGATACAACACAGAACTTCTGTCCTAATTCAGTTATTTCCTTAATTACCAAAGCAAAGTTTCAAAAGAAGAATAAGGAAAGTGGCAGCTTCCTCTGATGTCCAGTTCAGAGAATAGTGGCATCTATTTTCCTGCTGCAAGGTTTTCAAAAAGCAAGCTACAGAAAGGCCAAGAAGCATTTAAGTGTTAACCCTGCTAAAGACAAATATAAAAAATTGTCCAGGCTCCTAAATCACTGCTGTAAGGTTGATAAGAAAAGGCAAACAAACTTCATAAAACACCCAACAACATGTAAGAGGATAGTGAAGAAACTGAGGAAAACCCTCTTAGGCTGTGTTTATTCTCAATTTTAAATTTGGGTTCTGTATCTGAGAAAGGGGACCTTAGGGTGTCAGAGAGCCATAAATACTCAATTTGAGGTTAGTGGTTTGCGAGCTCTATTAAGAACAGGGTTGCATCCAAACAGCAATGGGTCAGAACCCAGTAAGTAGAGATGCAGTGACATCTACTGTTCACTTCTAGAATTAGCAATTCTTTTCCTCTCAAGAATAGGAAGCTAAAGCCACCGGCAGCACTAGCACAATTCACGGGAATGGGCATCCATTCCAGACATACTTATCATTAAAAAAAAGGTGAAACTAGTACCATAAAAGTTTTAGCTGTTGATTTAACACTGTAAGCTAGGATATGCAGTGTGTCCCTTCACTTAGAAATCTGGGACAGTGCCAGGTATGGTGGGTCAGAGGACTTTCACTCAGGGCTCTAAGTCAATCTCATAAACCAATATGATGTGGGCCTTAAAGAATTACTCAATGGCAGGCAACTTGAGGGAGATTCATTCCATTCTCTTCTATCCTAGCTTTCTAACCAAAAGCAGTGTTTCTTCACTCTACTATTCATTTTCCCCAAATATGCCCTGTTTTACAGTACATCAATTCCCACTTGTTGTCCTCCACCTATCTGTTTCCCAAATTCTTTTGCAAGTATGTGCTAGGTTTAGAATACTTACCTTTAGGTCACATGCTTTGTTCTCTTCTCTTAGCTCAAGAAACTAAATGCTTATGAGAAAGGACAGTCTTCTGAAGTCTGTTACCAGTATATGAAACTAACGACATTCTATCCCTCCACCCCCATCCCCCAGCGTTGAGAGCTAAGCTTCTTTAGTGTAACTCACTGGGCCTTATCACACTTATGCCACTGCACTCTGTTCACCTTGGCTACTTTGCTACACTGTTCACAGATTCTACCCAGTAGCTATAAAAGGAATGTCATTTAAGAAGCCACAGATTTATAAATATCAACAATAAACACTCCAGTTCTGACCCCTCTGAAGTTATTACCATATGAGTTGAGTCATTCACGAACAGCAATATATGTCTTCTGCACTATACAATGAGTCACCTCGGTACTACCTCTAAGACCTCACATTTCCAAATGTGCTTATCCCATGCATTTAGTATGTGTGTTTAATAAAAAAAAATTAAAAAGATGATAAAAATGGACCCAATAAGCTTGTTTCAGAGAGGTTGACCAGTACAAATTCTTGCCAGAATGCCTAGATTACTGAGATGAGAAGTGCCAGCCAGGCACTTGACTATACATCTGATGATAAAATCATAGCTGTAAGGAATCTTAGGGGTCATCTAATGGAACTGTTTCACTTTCTAGATAAAGGAGCTGAGGTCTGGAAGTAGAAGAGATGAGCCTAAGATCATATGTCAAGTAAGAAGCCAACTAAGGTAAATCACCAAGACCTCCCAGTTCTTAGTACAGCTTTTTAAACTCACACTTATTTCTTCCTAACAGCAACTTGGTAAACATATCCAATCCATGGAACTAAAACTATAGTTGTCATTTCTACTTCCCAGGCCACATAGTAGCTTTACCTACAGACATATGTTCTTTGGTGCCAATATCAAATAAATAGGTGAACAGGGTGTCCCAGAAAAATAGTCAGTAAAGTAAAACCAAGGGCCAAACCTACAAAATTAGAGATTAGTAAGCAAATGGAGAAACTAAATTAGAGTATCTTGCTTTAAGGTGATTTTTTTAAAGCTTCTGATCCAGAACTTTGGAGCCAGAAGGTACTAAAAGTACTTTTCATTCAACTCATCCCTTTTACATATGATAAAACCTTAAATAGTAAGTACAGAGTTGAAACAATATGGTAAAGAAAACAAATACCAAAGTACTGAATTATAACTCAAAGTATAAAATAAATATACATGGGTCCCTAGTTATATAAATAAATAACTAAATGGGGTAGGACAGACAAACTTCCTTACAGAAGAATTTCCAATAATGTATACAGAGAGTCCCTCTTCCAGGAGGTGAGGCTTAATTCTATACATCTCTCCAACCTACCTTGAGTGGCTAGACTTAAGTGATTTGCTTCCAGACAATAAAGTATGAAAAACAGAAACTTTATGGTGGAAAAAAGTGACAGGAGACTACTTGATAAAATGGTCATGGTTAACATCTCCAGTGAAGTTATACAAACTTCAAGTAACCCACAGGACACTTCATCTCTAGTATTCTTCCCCAAACCTATGTAACATCAGTCTAACCATGAGGAAAATAGCAGACTAACTCAATTATAAAGGACACCTGCTGGTATTCCTCAAAACCATAACTGATCATGAAAAACATGGAAAGACTATGAAACTGTCAGAAACCAAAGGAGACTCGGAGACACAGCAACTAAATGTAATGTGGTACTTATAGACTGGATTCTTGAACAGAAAGAGGTTGTAAGTGGAAAAACTGATAAAATCTAAGCCTGGAGTTTAACTAACAGTAATATTCCAATGTTGATGTCTTCATTCTGACAAGTATGCGATGGTTATGTAAGACGTTAACAAGCAGGGAAACTGAGTATATGGGAACTCTGTATCATCTTAGCATTAAAAATTGTATTTTCAGGCACTGAGAGGTAAAGTTGCCACAAAGCCAACGCAAACCATTCTCTCTGTAGTTCACTTCCTCAAATTTCTCAGAGGCCTAAAAAGACCATCTTATCAACTGCACATGAGTCACTCTTGTCTAAAGGGAGACTACTCTTTTCTAATACAACCGCTCAGTAGAGCAGTAAAGGCCAGTTAATGGTCTTCTAACAGGGGCAACAGTACAAATTATGTGGATGTTAGACTAAGACTGCCTAATTCCAGAGCCTCCCTCTGGCCTGCATAAGGACAGACAGAAGCCACTCAAAGCAAGCAATAACTGTGGCATCAATAGGTTCCACTTGGTCTGGGCTTCCCAAGGGGAAAGGCCAGGGCACTTGGGAAAGTACCATTTTAAAAAATCTAGTTTACAAGAACACTTCAAAGGAGTTTAAACTGTGGCTAGGACTATGTAAGGCTTCTGATCTCTAGAACAACTACCTTGGGCTTGTTCCCCAGGAATCGTGAGATAAAAAAATGCCACAGCACCAGAAGACATAGCCTAGCTTAGTTGGCATATAACATGGAAGATTACCATGGAGATCACTTACAGATTTGGAGGTTGTAGATTCAAATCCTTCCTAAAGCTCAACTCATCTTCAAAGCATAACAGGAACCTCACATTACCCCTGAGAATTAAGAAACAAATTGGGCCTGGAGAGGAAAACAGGTACCAGTCAATTGCTGGGCCATAAACTATGGGCTCCCTTCTCTGGGGGAAAGCTAGGTATGTATTGCCTAGCTTCAGTGAGAAAGGCTTGAAAGGAGAGAGTGTGAACACTGGTTGTCTCGTGGACTGAAACAAGTCCTGACGGTGCGTATGTCAATACCATGAGCAGGTCTTGACATTTTTGTGTCTTTTGGACCTACCAAGGCAATAGTAGTACTACTTTTGGAAGAGGACACTTCCAACTGTCCTTGCACTGATCTGCCTAGTCTCAATTTCCAGCCTGCATTTCCACATTATTTACTCAACAGAGTAGCTTTACTCCCATGACACATACACAGGCACTCAGATGCTATTACTACATCTACCTCAGCATCTA